GTACAAAGCTAGCCGCTTTTGATCAATTCTAGCCAGAACGAGTTTTCGAGATGGGATATTCAGGAGCCTTGATGAGAATATTTCATATTTCTTCGAGAAACCGCCCTTACGTTCTAATCTGGTCCAATCTCGAAAGAAGTCGCAGCACACGTTTGGAAACTGCCCACTTGCCAAAAAAAGGTCCTCATCGGCAGCGTTTTTTTGTTTCAAGTTTGTCGCCAGGTGAGATTGCTCGTTCTCCAAGTGATAAAAAAGGTTTCTAAAAAGGTTGCACTTTAATTTATCCAGCTTTATTAATGTGGCTCTGTGACGTCATTAAGCGCAGTATATAAGGATAAATGATCAAATCTTTCGATGGTAATCAATCCCGTTTGAAGGATGCGCCCCTAGATTCGACTCCCATTCAGAATCGTAGTGGCAGATTGAATGCGTATGTGACCTATACAATGACTTGCGGTGGTCAGTCGATGTACAAGTCAGGGTTTTTATCCTACCAGACGAGTCTGGTACCAATTAACCGACCTTGAAGGGATGGAAGGCTTGGTTGGCCTATTCGGATATCGACTGGGGTTCGTACCCGTGACCGTACATGTAAGATAGTGCGCACCTTGCCATTACATCACCTCAGCCAGCGCAGTAGATAGGAGGACTAGTGAAACAGTAAAATTTCCCGTTCCACTATCAATTCTGATTCACGTTTGACGAATTTCACACCGCAAGAAATTCCATTCATCATAGAGCCTAGACAAACCAGTTAATTGATATAAAAAAAAGTTATTCGATGTATTCAGCACTCACTGAATTCCTTTGCCAATTCATTCCCCAGACTTATTCAAGCAACAGGTCCAAATATTTTCTTTTTCTATTGTTTTGATGAAAATGTAGATATGCTCTACGATAATCCAGTTTATTCAGTGGAAGCTGCTAGTTTTATTTGAAATTTGTCCGTGATTATGACAACGATAGCTTATTTGGACGAGATTTTAGCCGTGTGCATTTGCGTAATGGGTTGACTACAGTGTTCCCACTGCTAAAAATTGCTCTAAACTGTCGCGGTAGGTGAAGATCTCGCACATCTGTTCAAATACTTGAAATAGATGCTCTGTTACGGATGGAGCAGTCTCAACCATACTCGTTGGAACGGACCCTTTCTGAATGAGGCCGTCGACTTGAGCCGACCTTGAGCCTCTGTTATCCTTGTTATTAAGCCCTATCTGGGCCGTTTTACGAACGGATAACGTGCCATGTGGCATATTTGTTGGTCAGAGGCTTGAAGAAATTTCAGAAGCCATTTTCAGGGGGTACGCCTGAGAGTGAACAAGTCTAGCGACTCCTTCAAGTTCTTGATAGACCTGTAGATAAGGTCTACAAAATCTCAATTAATTCAGATAATCTGAGAGCTACGAGTTGGTATGGAACTAGTTTTGAGTTCCCAAAAACTTGTCGGATAGGTTGTTATTTGTTAGAAGTGGACCTCTGGAATCTCAATTTTTTTGTGTAAGTTCCGGATTAGCACGATGTTCGTTCCGAGGAACTTTCTCATCGGACATCATCCACGGACAGTCTCTGTCACGCTGCTGGGTATGTTTACGCAGTGCCTTTATTAGATTACCCACTCTGTCATGAACTGGATCTTTTCTACAACGCTGAGCGGACGAGATGACCAGTTCTCCTTCATAGTGCTTGAGTTAATCGGAATGACATGTTTTCTATCCCCAGTTATTATTCTATTCAATAACTTGGGAGCTTGTGTGGAGAAGGGCCAGCCTCTGATCGGAAGTGCGGCTAGTCTCTGATCGAACGATGGGGCACTTCCTTTACCAAATGGTTATCGTAGATTGAGAAAACCAAGCACATGAGTGATCAGCTTGGAATGCACAGCTTTTCCGGCCCTAGGGGTGCATTTAAATGATCAGTATGAATACATTAATGAATTAAAGAAATAGAAGATCGGTTTGATATAAAAAAATTTATCGAAAACTTACTGTAATCCAAAAAAAANAAAAAAAATCCTGTATTATGGCTGACTCCACTATGGCCTGTTGGTGGATGTGATCTGTGTAATGCGATTTCCACGAGTTTTTTTTCTTTCATTCGAATCTGCAAGAAACCTGAGGGGGAAAGGTTTTGGGGACTTTCCACAGATTTGGGAAGGCTTCCTAGTTCATTTGACTTTTGGAGGCTATTTCTAGAATTATAAAACATAAGGATTCCAAGACTGTTGGTGGTCGAATTATGGAAATGGGAGCCCATAGAGCAGGAACTACATGTGTTATTGAAAGTCGGTTTTCTGTAACCGGATCGGTCAGCGAGTTGTTGTTGTCGACAGTTGGCCAAACTGGGTGATGGCACTTGACATTACATAGTTCTCCTCTTTCCTCCTGTGGCTGTTCATCTATAACAGAATTGATTCATGCAGTTGACCTGACTTCTTGAGGGCCTTCCCATCAAAATAGTCTTCCCGAAGGCTCTCAAAAGTTCGTAGTCCAACCTCATACCGTAATCCGGCAGTAGGGTCCAGCTCAAACGCCTCTTAGGGTTGCTACACTCCTAGTGGGACGTATGTTGTTTGGCGCGATCCTTCGTATCGCGCAGCCCATTCGACGCGGTTTGTGGGCTGGACAACTCGTCCAGGTGATTCAACCTCTCAGCCAGATAGACTATGTGAATTGGCAGAATACAAGTAATTGTTTTATAGCGGCGCATCGATCAGGCGTCCATCAACTGGATAGGTAATGTGTTGCTCGGTTACCTGGACGAGTTGCCCAGCTCAAAAACAGCGTCGAATGGTCGGTGCGATGCGAGGGGTCACGCCAAACGACCGACTACTTACCTGGATGGCTACCCAACGCTCTCCACCCTTTGCCTAAAGTCATTTTTTATTGCGCCGTATGAAGAATGGGATAAGGGTGTGTACGTTCGAATGAGATTATGCCGTGGAATGAAATAGATTGTCCGTGAAGTTCTGCGTGTCATTTCCACCTTGCTGACCCTTGCTCGCCAAGGCAGTCGAAAGTATAAATGCGGTTTCAGATCTCCGTCTGCTATGTTTTCGTTCTTAACTTAACGATTATGAGGCCGAACATGAATGGGGCTAAAGATCATTCTAAACACTTGTATCTGGTAACTAGTTCGAGCGATACCCATTCATTTCACCCTGACCTACTTATTGAACTTTACTCGACTGTTCGTTCGCCTTGACGCTAGAAGTGTAGTCAACAGCTCATTTTTGGGTAATGCTTTTGCTTAATTAGGGAGACTTTCAGTGGGTAATAAACCAAAATTCATGTGAAATCCCATATGGGTGGCTTTTACAACAAATCTGTTGTCCTTCCAGCTATGGATTGCGACAAGCTTGTTCATGGTTCTTATACGTTATTTCTATACTCAGAACTTGTCCTGGACAGCTTATCAAAACGATTTTCTTGACACCTATGTTTCACTGCGGACATATTCGTTCTGTACAAGCTATATAAGCACTTTCGATCATTCACTGGCGCTTTTCGTTTCGACCTTGTCACAGCTGTAGAACCCACCATCTCTTCATACTCTTTTGTGTGGTCCACCATAAACGGTGTAAACGCTACTCTTCAATAGAAGGGTCAGAAAAAAGCGACCTTCCGCTTTCCCCAGCTAGAGATGCGGAATTCCAATAGAGAGCACCCAAATAAACCATCTTCGAGAGACGTCAAAATTTCACTTATGCCCGAGTAACTTCGTTGTAAGTAGTACAGACTATTGCAAACATGGCCCGGGGATCGAACTCGGGATCGATAGCCAGGACCAAATAAACCTTCTATTCCTCTAGGGTCGGCTAATTGGTGCTAGGCTCGTCAGGAAGGATAAGAGCTCCGACTTCTACATAGGCTGACCACTGCAAATTAGTGTATGGGTCACACACACGTTCATAAGGCCACTATGATTTTGAATAAAAGTCTGATGTTGGGCTCATCCCAGAAACGGGACCGACCATGGGATACTTCATCCTGTACAGTACCTTCAAAAAACTTCTTCTACAAGACAAAATGTTCACAAGCATCATGCCAACACGGTTCCCTAAAGCTGCAGGAGCAAAAATTCAGTATGCGACCAAGGTTCTTACAATGACTTCGTGGTGGAGTGAAAGGAACCGGACGCAGAACCTCACGGACCACATTGCATTAAACGGCATAAGCTCATTGGAATTCGCACCCACGTCTCAATTCCGTTGAAATCGAAAACAGACCTCTGTCAAGGAGACGGCTAGAGGGGGTCTGCGGTCTGCGTTCCATCATTACAGGGAGCTCTAGGTAAGACCCACCGCTAGCATGCGTTTGAGAGCCGGGTGGATCCCCGTACTGAATCTTCGTTTCCGTGTCTGATCGGGCACCCTTCGGCACTATGATGTCTTCACTAATAACCCTTAGTGGACTCCTACCGTGAATAGGCTGCCAATTATGAATCAGACCAATCGTTGTCCCCGTGCTAAGATCCTTTTCCAGCCCACGGTATCCCCTACCAGTTTCGTTGCTTCTAGACACCGTTACAATCTTAAACCTAAGGGGATATTAGGCAGTTACTGGTCTCACAATCAATCCAACGACTTTCCATGTTCGACAGCGGATTTTCCGTGTCTGTGGTGGAACCCTGGAAACAGTATAAAAAGGGCTAATCACTCGCTAATTGTGATCCGATCAAGTTCGGACGGTGACGTGGCTGTTCAATCATCTGGAAATTCATGCCGATCCGGACGTTTTTTTTTNTTTTTTTTTCTCAACTGGTGGCCACGGATGTGATGTGACGGATAAGTACAATAAGTTGGACTTTTACTTTTCAAACTTTTCAAGTTCCATATTTCTCTGTGGTCTGAGAAAATTTTAGAGAAGTGGTTGAAAATTCACTGTTGTAGGGACAATTCGCTGGTATTTATTATGATTTCCCATTGCTTCGACTGATGGCTCGTACTCGCTTTTACTTTGAAGAATTCTAGGCAAAGAAACTATTTTATGTATCATTTCAGCATGAAACAACGGTGTTTACGATGCCGTTCTCGGGAGCTTTGCCCCAATCATGGCTCCTATCGACTAGTCACTCAGGATAAGTTAGATCCATCTATGTGGATCAACAAATATGTAATCAGACACTACCGCCCGGCAAATATGACCAATAAAATGTGTGCCAAAAGGTAAGCACCTAAAATCATCTCTATTAAGATGTTTGTTTGTTTGTTCATTTGTTTGTTACTTGTTTATTGCTATTGTCTATTCGGGTTTGTGAGTTTGTTGTAATTGACAAACGGAAACAAAAACGACCGTAGTAAACAATACATAAACAAGAACCAGTAATGATGGAAATATCAAAAACTCGGCTAAATAACAATAATTCCGAGCAGTAATAGGAATTTGAACTACTAGAGCATCACTTGTAGAAGTTCTCACTTGTATGATGTGTTTTAAAGAAGCTTCTTGATTTGGAGTGTAACTATAGGGCGGAGGTGGTGTAGTTGCAACTGACGCACTATCACACATGCATGGTCACGGGTTCGAATCCAGAATCGATATCTGCCTGGTATAACCAGGCTTTTCATCCCTTTGGGTTTGGTTACTTGGTACGGACACGTCTAGGTAAGAAGCACTGGCTTGTATGTCGGCTAGTCACAGCAGTTCTTCGTACAGGCTACATATGTATCCAATGCATTACTACGATTCCTAATGGAGGCTTCAATCCTTACTTACTTCGATCCTTACTCAATAGCATACCCCATTATGATGAAGTGGGATTAGGGTTATCGTAGTTTACACGAATAAATGGCCTCAGTGGCTGCTTTCATAGTCCGCCGGCCGGCCGGCGTGCCACGAGGCAGTGCTAGGGTGGAGGAGGGCGGCAGACAGTCAGTCGAAGGGCTGAAAGCAAAGAAGGACAAAATCAAAAACCAAACAACAGGGGCTTGTACAAATGGTTTTTGATCTTGTCTCTCCTTGTACACAGCTCTTCGAGGGACTGACCTACCGTCTGCCGCCCTCATCTCCCCTAGCACTGCCTCGTGGCACGCCGGCCGGCCGGTCGGCGGACTATGAAAGCAGCCAGTGTGAATGTGAAATTAGTATGCCCTTCCATCTTATCTTATCTGCTCCGTGCTTACATCATCTTATCTGCTACCGTGCTATCACTTCCTATCGCATCATTCCTTGGAATTTTCGTACTTTTTTCTTTTGATAGATTAGCAATTTTACCTTTTCAGCATCTTTCACTGGACGAACGAGACAATCAACATCTGGAGTCATTTACTCGGTTTTATTTACTTTACTTATTGTCAATATGAGATGAACGCCTACCGTATCCCGTTAATGGGCGGTCATTTCGAAGATCACCTTGTCATATCATTGTCAATATTTGGATCTCAGGTAATATTTAGGATCTGATTCGATTGATAGCCTTGCTCCACAAACGGCGCTGACTGTATAAACAACCCTCTCCTTGGACCATTTCTTTCACTAGTCAGTCCACCCTTACACTGTAGGTCCAACCAGAAGATTTGCTAATCCATATTATATCCAATTGAATAGCGTTTTNTTTTCCATGAACAGAACGTTCTCGGTAGGGGTTGTGATGACTGATTGGATATGAGGAAGAACCGAATCAAATCGGGGAGGATTGCATCATCGTTCCACGACATTTTTCTTATTCGGGAGTTATGAAAGAACTGGATCTAACCAGCATAAATTTGCTGCAGAAACTTGTTCAAAGATCTCATAGAAGCTTAGATTATCGGGAGTTGGATTCTGGGTGTTCGCTAGCGCATAAGCTGCTTCTGGTTTGGGACGAGATTCCCTGACTTCAGAAGACATATCAAAACACCCTTCTTTTGAACTCCTCAAAGTGAGGGTGACGGTACCATCTGATACCATAAGTTACCATTCATCCCCTCAGCCAAGGTATGGAGCCAATCTTCAATTTTCCAAACTGCACTCCCGGCTTCCTCATCTCCTTCTCTACCGCATATAGTTAGCACCGTGAATTTTTCGATTAAAACCTTCAGGAGTTCCAGGTTTGCATGCTATTTTCGGCCGCCTATCATACTTTCTGTTGTGCAAATGAAAGAAAACGACAAAAATTCCTGAAACTCGACATCTTTGGTATCTCTGCCGGCCTACTCGGGATGTACTTATCCGGAATCTACACTGCATTTTTCTGCTTCCAGGTGAGTTCAACAGTTAGTGGGGGGAAGGGGGGGGGGGGAGGTGGCATGTAAGGAAGTCAAATTAGGAATTCGTAATGAAGAAAGAAATCATCAAAAACCCCCTTTTTTGATGGAACAGTTTATAAATGGAAAGAGAGGCAGCGTACAGCTAGATTTGATGGTCGCTGAAGCAAAACACCTGCGTCTTTCTGAATGCACCTTTGTTTGCTTACGGTATGGATTGTCGTTGCAGGACCATCTCGAGACTTACTTCTACATGTTGATGTCTATATTCTTTATCACCGCCTATGTGCCTACACGTGAAGACTTCTTTGATCGAAAGATCGTTGGCTCTCGAATCGGCTATCTTCACATCATCTATGCGTCGATCGTTATTTTCGGATTCTGTCCAACTACCCACTGGGTGTATCTCCATGGTGGTCTGGCCAATGACCATGTAGCTGTGAGTATATCAATTTTTTATTTTTATATTACCCAGATCCTTATAATGTCCATAATACAATGCAAAAAGTTTCGTAGGAGTCTTACCCATGAAAGGATTCCGAAATGAGATGATTTAACCAGTAGGGTCGGGGAACGAATTCAGCCTAGTGGGGGGAGTCGTCTTGAGACGTTCATAGACGATTCTTCAGCCAGTTCTCAAGCACATGAACGCTTGAGGCGCTATTACTCTAGATTATCTGCACCTCTTTTTGGACGAGTTTTTTGCTCGGAAAGTTCTCTGAATCCATACATTTTAGAACTGGTTGGTTGATATATTCATTCTTTATGGCTTGATGGCATTAGCATTCTTCTTCTACGTGACGCTAATACCCGAACGACTGTTTCCGGGTAAGTTCTTTCCTTTCAACGCATTTTCCATTACCCTGAACCATATAACTTCTTGGCCCTAAAATCGACACGTAACTTTGCCGTTGTTTGATAAATTGCCCAATTTCAACGAATATGTGTAGCCCAAATTTCCTTCCTGGATACTGTGGCAACTGCTGGTCCCACTGCGTTAGTCCATTATGCGACCTGGACGTTTAACCCTTTAATCAAAGTTCAAGGAACAGACCACCTTTAGNTTTTTTTTAGTTTTGATTCCAGGAAAGTGCAGATCCCTCCCTCTCAGTTTAAGTCCCACCCATTTAAGTCCTGTGACCGCTTGAATAGCAGGAAATGCTTTTGAGTGAACAGATTATATTTTAATTTTAAATTAGGAGCGTTCGATCTCGTTGGGTGCTCCCATCAGTGGTGGCACATATTCATACTATCGGCTATGGTGTTTTGGCAACGTGCAGGAGTAGATCTCCTGGGTTTCTATCGCATGAACGAATCGTCATGTCGTGATTCCATCTCTCCGCTTCGTGGAAACTCGTCCGCCGTATACTTATAGCTATCGTAGCTAAGTTAGGATGTTTCAGTAACTGTCATTAATATTCACTTTTTAAAATCTCCCTGCTATACAATCTTGTAGATCTGATATCAAGCATTCTACCATCCTTTAAGTAACATTCTTATTGATTGTACCAGATGATAAGGGTTAGGAAAAGGTGATATCTGCTCCAAAATAGTATCACTTCAGTAATATTTATTTGCTTATTTATTTGTGTAAAGGTGCTATGTTAATGATGAAGAAGCCGGTTCAAAAATGCTTAACTTTCAACGATTCTGTCAATATCTATTCATCTTCTCTATTCTAGTTGCTCTGTGAAGGTAGTTTGCTGCTGATGTAAGCAGAGTTTGAGAATGTATTTCTTCGTACAACTGGTTCAGTACATTAGACGAGTTTTCCAGAGATCTGAATGATGATAATTTTAACTTTTTGAGTGCAATAAACATTTCACTTAATATTAACTTCAGAAAGAAGCCACTTCGACAGGATCACCAGGCAAGGGCATATGAGCAAAGGACCAAAGGAACACGGACAAGAGTCGCTTTTTCCGGGAGAGCGAACCAAAAAAGAGGTCATCCCGCTCTTGCCATCTGAGCTGTTCCTCTGGCTAGGGTTGGATCATGACTCATGAACTATAAACTACCTAAAAACCCCTTCGATAATCGGTAAAAGAAAATTTGGCATCTAAAAAATTCGCCCTCACTTGAGATCTAGCTGCTTTATCAATTTCGCTACTGAAAGAAATGGAGCAACTCCAACATGTTGTTGAATTCAAAGTTGTATCCAAGGATATACTCGAAAGCTTAGGCTTAGGAGTTACACTTAAACCTTGCTAGAGCCCTCCTATGTCGCTCAGTGCCCAGCATTCTTATATTTTGAACTCGGAAAAAGAAAAGTCTGATTTTAGCAGCTCCACAAGTTGCGAAAATGTCGAAACGAATATGGAAAGGAACAATAAATTAGGAATCGGCAAAGGCTCTTTTTAGAGTTACTTTTAAACTGTCTGGTAGAGCCTTTACTCACTTCTAGTAGGTGAACAAGTGAAAATAAAATCTTATCTAAAACATTATGAGATCTTCAAAACCTAAGCTACTGGTCAAATATGCATACAAATGCCTCACGATTTTTGATCAAAAACAAAGACATGGCGTATTCCAGTCGGCTGACCATTCAACGTCTCACTTCGCGTGCCATAACTTACACAAGCGTCCAAAAACTTTATTTTTGAGAACGTAAGCGATAAAAGCACGTACAAAGAAGGACGTAGCACGGAGTGGAACAGAACTTTCTACTTATTATCGAGGACGGTGCGATCTCAAATCTGATTGGCCACGTGGTCACGTTAGCCAATAGAAGAGCGAGACCCCCGTAAGAGATCTGAATGTCCATTTGCAGCACTGACTAGAATTATTGCCCATTTAAACACCAGTAAAAAATTAAAACGCGTACGCGTAGAGAATCAATAACTATTGAAAATAGCGAAATCAATCAATAAATCGATAGAAATTTTCGATCGATTCGAATAAAATCAATCCGGCAAGAAGGCGACAAGGAAGACTAGACAAAATCAAATAAGACTGAACAAGTGAAGTGTCATACGGTAACAATCATATGCATTTTCTACTCGATAGTAAAATAGATACATATTGATTGATTAAATTATTGGCGATTTTTTGATCGATACTGCTTTCAGTGTCATAACCGATTCAATTGCGAGCCAAGTGTTGCAAATGGTGGGATCTGAAGCGGCGCCGATTTTATGGGATTACGGTAACGAAAAGTATAAACGTAACCAGACTTACGTTTTTCAAAATTTCCAGCAATCTTGAGGCTTTATTACAGACATCGGGATTCGAGTGTTGAGTCAATTCCCGAGCTCGTTCTTCCAGTTCTTCCCGACTTTTTGGACCGTATATAGAATGATACAACGTGTGTGCTGGGTTGCGAAATGGGTCCTAAATGGATCATACCTATTACGGTAGAGCAGAAGCATGTGCGAGTGCATGTATAGATCGATGGGCAAGAATCACCACTGAACATCTGAGGCTCAGCTCGGAGTTCGGCATGAGCCTCGCTTTTCCCTTTCTTTACGTCCCCTGCTTTTTGATGTTCAAAGTACCCCCTCCGCCCTAGTACTGAATGAAAGCTTTACTAGTTGCTTACCTGATTGTGACAAGCAATTTTGTCGTAAGTCAGATGCAGGGCGTCCACCGCTGATGATGTACACAACAGCCAAGTAATCGCACGAAGCAGGACTTCCTCGCGGTCGGTGTCCAACAATCGAAGCAGACCGCTCACTGACTGAAACCAATGTATTCCGATCAGACGATTTGACTTCAGTCGTACGTTAATAGGTCGTGGGCATTACCGACCTTTGAACCAAGCATGTACGGCACCATATCTGGACAACAGCTTAGATTTACGAGTAATCGGAGAGCGTTGAGATTCGGTTCTCCTCGAATCCACAATCGTGAGAGACAATGAGGAATTGCCGGTACGAATTGGGGAATCTGAAAAGGGAAGGATAACAGATTGGTAAGATTTGAAAGGCATAGTGTGACGATCAGGCACTGGACCGATAGTTCTGTGTTAAGTAATTTCCAGTTCGATAAAGTCAGTAGTGGCTGAGTCCCTGCTAAATGTAGAACACTATGTCTACCTGTGCGTCTTTCTTTTTTCCTTCTGTCTCTCGGTCTTCTGTCTGTCTGCCTGCCTGCCTGTCTGTCTGTCTGTCTGTCTGTCTGTCTGTCTGTCTGTCTGTCTGTC